TGCTGTAAAGCATCAGTGTAATCAGAGCCTGCAGCGCTGCAAGCTACTCCCCTCGGAGAGGTGGAGTACATACAGCGCTGCGAGAGCTCTCGCGGCAGCGCTGTGAAGTCCTGAGTGTAGCCAAGGCTGTAGTTCCTGTCCACACACACTGCCCTGCTCCCAGCTGGAAATGCTTTTCAAAGGGAGAACATGACTATAAAAAAGGGGCAACCCCCCCCAAAGCACCCGCCCCCTTTCAGTGCCCATTGCATTCACTGCACTTGAAGAGACAAAGGAAGCAGTCACTAGATTCTCTGGAAGGGGGCCTGACCTGAGAGTTTGGTCAGTAATCTGCTGAAGCTTGTGGGGAGAAAACTTTGCTTTGAACCTAATATAGTTTGATAAATTAGGCACCAGTAGGTGTTTTATCTTCATTTGTAACCATCTCTGACTCGTATGCCTCATTACTTTTATTCACTTAAAATCTCTTTGTAGTTAATAAACTTGTTTTACTGTTTTATCTACTCCAATGTGTTTAAGGTGAAGTGTTTGGGTAACAAGTTGTGTGCATATTATTCCCATAAAGCAATACAGGGACTCAATATATTTGTACTGTACAGCAGAGGGCTGGGCAGTACTGGACATACATTTCAGGGGATGGGGGAAATCTGGGACTGGGAATGTGTTGGGTCACCCTGTAGAAATCTTTAAGGCTAGTAGAAGCCAAGATGTGGCTGGCTGCAGCACACACAGGCATAGTTGGGAGGGGCTTAAAATGCTGGAGGTTGTTTGTGAGTAGTCCAAGTTGGAGGCTACAGCAGCAAGGCATTGTAAAGGGCATCCTGGGTCACAGGACAGGAGTCACACAGCTACTCATTGGTCTGGATTGTAACCTGGTGTCACAATCTGGTGCACAGATCTGATTTTGTATAGTGCAGTCCTAAACATCCCTGTCTAAGGCTACCCCTGCCCGGGGTGCCCTCCTGTGGCAAACCCTGGCATGCCATGCACAACTGCCTCCGTTTCCCCTTTATAAGGGCCATACAAAGGAATATTAGTCTCTCGCAGCAGCAAATTCAAACCCTTAATATTAAGTGCCATGGTCTTCAAATTGCTTGTAGCAAAGATAGTTCCTCTTAAAACTGCTAAGTAAAACAAGGTTACAACACAGCAGCTCTTCCATGCCATTCATAGGTCACCATTCCCAGATCACCCACTCCAGCTCCAGTAACCACTGTACCACGTCCATTAGACCCACTCCCAGGTCCTACTCTCCAAGCCTCCTCCCTGAGAGTTCCACCACCTACTTTGCTCCTAAGAGTTCTCCTGTAACCCCAGAAAGGGCTCCCTACAGTGTTTCATTCCCCCAGGCCTATTATTTTGGAGAAGTTTATGGCCTATTTTATACAAACTAGATGAACACATTACTCCCTTCTGGACTTGAAATCTATACATTTATGAGGGCTCCCTGTAGCTTTATCGTCCCCAGCCCTCCTTGTCTGCGAGTCTGACCCCTGTTCCTCAGGACATCCCTCCAGAGTCAACCCCTTGCTTCTGAGTAGGGCTTATACTGCCCACATGGGTTCTTCCCTTCATTCCTAAGGGCAATGCATAAGCCTTCCTACAACTTGGCCCTAGCTCTAGTCCATCCTCCCAACAGTTTTCCACAGAACTCATTACCAGCAGCTCAGTTACTGCTCTCCTGCAGCTCTTCCTCTCAGGCAACTCTGCTTCTTCTATCACTCCTCTGTTCTGAACAGGGCCGGCTCCAGGCACCAGCTTGTCAAGCAGGTGCTTGGGGCGGCCGCTCCGGAGAGGGCGGCATGTCCAGGTATTTGGCGGCAATTCGGTGAACGGTCCCTCACTCCGCCTAGGAGCGAAGGACCTCCCGCCGAATTGCCGCCGCAGATCGCGATCGCAGCTTTTTTTTTTGGCTGCTTGGGGCGGCCAAAACCTTGGAGCCGGCCCTGGTTCTGAAGCAGCAGTCACTTGCCTCCTTCCTGAGTCTTTCAGGCAGAACTCACCTGCTCCCTTTTTCTCAGGGCTAGGTGCTCTCTGAAGCCTAATTATGGTCAACTGATCACTCACAGGTGCACTGGCCTCTTCTCTCTTAAAAAAGACCAGTATCTCACTATGATAATCCACCATCCTACTATTTGTGCTACCACAGCATCCATTTTATGGCTTTGTCTCCCCCCAAAAAGTGATTCTCCAAAAGTATTGCAAACTTAAGTGCAGCTAATGTGTGACTGATATCCATGCCATCTGTGAGGTAAATTACTAAAATAAATTCCCTGACAAGAGTGTCCAGACTTCCGACAGTCCCTAATTAAGCAATCGCTCTTGCTAAATCCACAGAGATAGTCAGCCAATAAGCCAAGCAGTAACAAAACACCTGTTCAACGCATTCAAGTTCTTAGGCAAGCTCCAAAAACAATAGGCTGCATTATGGCATGGCCGTAACAACTCCAGCATTAAGGTTGAAGCTGGCTTCCCTTTATAAATCCTGTTTTTAAAACTCTTCCCCTGCAACTTCTGCAGATACAAACCCATCTTTTGGAAATTTCACATGCTGCATTTCAGCCGAGGCTGAAGTCTTCCTGAAAAGGTTTAAAAAAAAAAAAAAAACAACAACGCCACACACAAAGTTTCAAAGTCAGTGTTTAGAAAATATGCCTGCCTGGTATTTTGGTATATTTTCCTAACATTTCAAATTTCTTTTTGTTCATTGTACCTCCGAAAGGACGCAACATACCAACTCAACATGTTTTATTGGCCTTGCTGATGTTAAATACCTTTAATAGTTAAGATGATGAAGGAATGAGGGGAGAAGGGATTTTTTTAAATATTAAGAGTTGTTTAAAAATTCATACAGATGTATAGATAGGTATTATACACACACACCCTTGTTAAAGAAAATGAAGGTGGCTCAAGTATGTTCTCAACACTAGCAAGGAAATCCTGACACTGCCAGTCTCCAGCCATTATCCCACTGCCATCATTCCTCTCCACTATAGAGTATTGGCACATCAATAATATACTCAACTTAATGTAATGTTAATAATACTGACACCCTCAGTGTTGTTACATGGGCCAGATCCTGTGAGAGGATGAGTTCCTGGACCTCCCATTGAGTGCAATTAAGGTACAGCATGCATATCTGAGTGCCACATATACTCATAAACTAATTTGTTTGAGTATCACCATGTTAACAGACAGGTAAAATTTAAAGTTAATTACAGTTAAAATCCTTTTCCAGTGTTAATGACTTCAGAAGAGATCTATGGAGAAATTCAATGGAGTGGTAAGTTTAGGAACAGTCTTTATTTGCATTTCACAGAACAAACTCAAGATAACCATAATTCTTTCACTTCATCCTTGCCCCTCTCAAAGCCTTGACGTTAATCAGAAATTTACTCTTCACTGCTACAAAAAGGTTCATTACCATGGGATAGCTAGTGCACATCAGCTCTCCCTCTGTAAAATCCAAGTGGAGACAAGGTACTGTAATTTTAAATAGGGTTTCATTGGACCTGATTCATGATTTTTAAATGTTTTGGAGTGGACAACTTAAATTTCTATGCAAGCAGATATCAAGAAACATGAGCTCTAGCCCTGGCTCTGACATACATTCCTTCTGTTGCCTTAGGAAAGTCATTTAACCTCAGTGCTGCAGGTACCCCATCTGCAGAATGAGCGTACTGACTCACGGGAGTGTTAAGAGATTTCATTTTCCAGCTGCTATTTGTAAAATGCTTCGAAAAGGAAAAGGGGGGAGGGGGGAGAAATGGGAGCAATATCAATAGGAAACCAGCAGCCAGGCCATTAATCCTGTTGTGGGATCTCAAAACTGTGCTTGAGGGGTATAAAAAGGTGCACATCTCACAAATCTTGTGAGACAGCCTTGGAATGTTGCTTGCTTGCAGTGGCAGCTGAAGCAGGACCTGCTGGCTGTGCCACTGGGGCTAATGTGACAGAGTGGCTGCAGTTGACCTGCAAGGCTTGAAAGGTTTGGTGGCTCAATTAAAAAAAAAAATGAAAAAACATCCCTGTAGCTTTAAAGGCTCTCCAACGGGTGGGAGGTTTGAGCTAAAAATCTGCCCTTTCCCCCCCCCCCCCCCCCTACTTTTGTAGTGGAACTGAGGTAGAACCAAAAGACGTGGGGGAAGAGTAGAGCAAATAAATAGGACAGAACTGAAACTGTTAAATGCTCTTTGGAGAAGAAGTCAAAGGTAGTGTCCTGTGCCATCAGAACAAAGGTGCACTTCCTTATTTACCAGGAAGAGTGCCCTGTTAAGAGACAACCATTTTAAATTATACTTGAATGAACACAGAAGTAACAGTTCTTGTGATAACATTGTGATAACATTGTCTAACTGTATTGAACTCTTAGCTATATGTAGATTATAGGTGTCCTCAAAACACCTAAAATACAGTCAATTAGATATGGATCTATGGATTTTCTGATTCCTGCAGAACTGATGCTAGTTTGCATAAAAGCCAAATCCCTAGATATAGGTGAGTCACAAAATTAAGGTCTCGGTTAGGATCCAGAAAATCATGTTTTACCACTTTGTGAAGAGATTTGAGGACTATGGACAGAAAAAACACTGTACAATTGCTAATAATTGTATTATTATTATTGTTACTACTACTACTACAATACTATCTTCCTCTCCCAAGTGTTGGGAGCATTCAGATGGGGACTTGGTTCTGGCTTATCTTTCCTACAAACAAAAACACAATCAGGTACCTTACTAAGAGATATAACAATTGTGTAATTGACAAGACAAGGTGGGAAAACCCTGCAGCGTTTGGGTCTTAATATGAAATATTTAATACAATTAAGTTTATATTTCTGTGTTCATGTTCTGAGTATAAACCATATGTTGTGCTGGAGTTGATAAAACCAGGCTAGTAGTAGATAGAAATAAGTCTATTTAGCAATGAAAAATTAATCTTCATATGTTTGAAACACCTAATTTTACAGAAGGTGTCACACTACAACGGGACCTACTTGTCTTCCATTTTCAGATCCCGTGTTCCATGTGCAGTCCATTCTTCAGCAAGAAAGACTATTTGACCTCTGAGGCTGCTGTTCATTCTGCAGGGAAAATGTAGAGATAAAGAATTATATCATCAGATGACTTTAAATAAAGGATGCTATACAAAGAAGAAACAGTGAGGGTTAAATCTAGGCTCTGATAATGTATGAGGAAGTTAATCTCTTATTGCAGGTTGCTGACAGGCTAGGTTATCGTGTCTGTAAAACACATTATACATGATTTCACCAAGGTATAAAACTACCAATGGCCTCTAAAAAAGGACATACTAGTAATAAGAGGGATACTGAATCTTTCCTGGTCTTTTCCTGTATCTCTTTCCTCTTGCTGGAGTATTAGCCAGAAATTACTTATTACTTTCCCATACACTCATCTTCATTTGGCTCATCAGTTTCATTTATCAGGTCTCTCTACCCAGACTTGAGCTGAGTCTGCCTTTACTGGAAAGAAGAGAAAAGCAAGTTAAGGGTTAGAAACTGTTTTAGTAGTAACAGCAAAAGTAGTGTGTCTGGAGACAAGAGCAGGGAAAACTTAGGAGTCAGGACTCCTGGATTCTATTTATGCCATAGCTGTAAAGCTTATCTTTCACCAAGAGAAGATGGTCCAATAAAAGATATTTCTTCACCCACCTTGTCTCTCTAGTATCCTGGGACCAACTTGCATTCAATACTACTGCAATATACTGTGATACTAAACAACTCATATAATCAGTGTTATTTTGGGCTTGTCTATACTACCCGCCAGATCGGCAGGCAGCGATCAATCCAGCGCAGGAGGGGAGGGTAGTCCATTTTATCGCGTCTAGACTAGACGCAATAAATCAACTGCCAAGTGCTCTCCCGTCAACTCTGGTACTCCACCGGAGCGAGAGGTGCAGGCAGAGTCAACGGGAGAGCGTCAGCAGTCGACTCACTGCAGTGAAGACACTGCGGTGAGTAGATCTAAGTATGTCGACTTCAGCTACATTATTCACATAGCTGAAGTTGCTTAACTTAGATCGACACCCTCCGCCCAGTGTAGACCAGGCCTTAGTTTCCCCATCTGTAAAATGGGAATCTTCTGCTCTTCCCTGCCTCACAGGTGTGCTGCAATTTCTATTAATGTTTGTATATGCTCAAAGATCCTTGGAGGTCTCACATAAACAGGTAAAACTTGGCTCTGAGTTATTTTACTTCCATATTTGGCACTGGTACAACCACTACTGGAATACTCTGTCCATAATTCAAGAGGGATGTAATTGGAGAGGGTTCAGAGAAAAGACCCACAAATGAATAAAGCATTAGAAAATGTGTCTTATGGTGATAGACACAAAGAGCTCACTCTATGTAGATTAACAAAGAGAAGGTTAAGTGGTGACTTGATTACAGTCTATAAATATCTACATGGAGAACAAATATCTAACAATGTGCTCTTCAGCCTAGCAGAGAAAGGTACAACACAATCCAATGGCTGGAAGTTGAAGCTAAACAAATTCAGACTGGAAACAAGCAGAATTAAACTCCCCCTCCTCCCTTCCCCTCCCCCCCCCACCCCCCACCACAGTAACAGTAAGTAACCATTGGAACAATTTATCAAGGGTCATGGTGGAGTCTCCATCACTGACAATTTTTAACTCCAGATTGAATGTTTTTCTAGAAGGTTGGCTCTAGGAATTATTTATGGGCAGTTCTATGGCCTGTTCTATACAGGATGTCAGAGTAGAGGATTACAGTGGTCCCTTCTGGCCTTGGAATCTATGAAGGTGTGTGAGAGTGCTGGCAAAAGCACCTATTGAGTTCCTGGGGGGAACTAACAGCCCCTCTCCCAGCCTAAACAGAGAAGCCACTAAGCTCAGGGGACAACTATGATAAACAGGGACAGGAGTGAGGTCATAGGGTCAAAGTCAGGGGGGCAGGAGGGGACACGAAGCAGAGGATCCTGGACACTGCTCCTCAAAGGTATCCAGGGAGCCAGTGGACGCAGTTCAGAGGAACTCTGCCCAGATACATGACCTGAGGGAGGAGCAGGAGGAGCAGAAATAGGCCCCACACCCACAGAACACCTCCCCATCCAGCATCCTCCTCCTGGTATGACGGATGGCTGCCTTGGCCAACACGAGGGGGAAGTTGACAAGGAAGTCTTGTGACTTCGTGGGGCCATGGATGGGGTGAGTGTGCATCAGGAGGTGCAAGGAAAAGTGCAGCCGGAACCTAAAGAAAAAGTTCTGGAGGAGCCAGAAGATAGAGCTACCATATGTCCGGATTTCCCCGGACATGTCCAGCTTTTCGGTCTATAAATAGCCATCCGGGGGGGATTTCTAAAAATCTAAAAATGTCCGGGACTTCCCCCCGGTTGGCTATTTATAGACAGAAAAGCCGCCACTCTGCAGCCAAAGCCTCTTCCCAGCTCCCCCCCATCCCCTGCAGCCCCTGCAGCCTTACCACGCCGTCCCCCCGCAGCTGTCTTCCCCCTCCTCCCCTCCCCTGAACGCTCCACACACCTGCTCCTCCCCCTTCCCTGCTTCCCGTGAATCAGATCTTCGCGGGAAGTCTGAAAAGAAGCAGGGGCAGGCGGGAGGCAGCAGCAGGTAAGCTGGGGCTGGGGTGAGGGGGGACGCGAGGAGGAGAGCTCCGGGGAGGCGCGGCCCTGGCCGAATGGCTCCCTCTGGCCCGGGCCGAGCGGCGCCCAATGGCCCCAGTGGCTCCGGCCCTGGACCCAGTGGCTCTGGCCCAGCTCGGGCCCCAGGGCGGCAGGCCCGGTTCCCGCCCCGGCCCCAAGCCCCGCAACCCTGGCCGGAGCTCCAGTCGGAGCACAGCCTGATTCCTGGGCTCTTTAAAGCCGGCCCTGGTCAGGGGACAGGAAGGGGGGGTTGGATGGGTCAGGAGTTCGGGGGAGGGCTGTCAGGGGGGCAGAGGTGTGGAGAGGGGTTAGGACAGTCAGGGACAGGGAGCGGGGGGGGTTAGAGTAGGTCGGGGGTTCTGGGGGGGCTTCGAGGGGAGCGAAGGGTGTGGAGATGGGGTCGAGGCGAGGCGAGGGAGCA